CCACCCCCCGTCAGTCGCGCGCATCCTCTCCCGTCCAGACACTCCTTCCCCTCCGCCCCCCTCCTTCCTGCTTCACAGGTTGCGTATCCGTACATACAATCGCCCTCTTTTCCCGCCCGATTACCTTAGCTTGCACGTTCCGTGGAAAACAACACACACCAAATACTTGTTGTTAACGTCCAAAGGCCCCGTCTTTGAATTAGTCCATTGCAGCCTTCTTGCGCCCGTCTTTTAATTGTCATGATGAATTCTTAGGGATAACCACCCAAAACTTCCCCTCCGAACTCTATTCACACCAAGAGAGTTTGGGCCGTGTCAGCCCAATTCTGCCGAATCCCTCTCCTTGGCACCCTCACAGAGCTCGACTGCATCCCTCCAGTCAATTCCCTCTGCGCGCCTTGGTCCTTGGTCTGCAATCTGCACTCTGCACTCTGCGCTCTGCATTTGCCAGACAGACTCTGAGCCAGTCCACACACACTACTTCCACTTCCACTACCTACCTATTCGTACTGGACGGCGGCCATACCTTACCTGACCACCTCTCACGCAAGGTACCTTACCCTTCCCATCCTCGTCCTCACCCAACCGCGACATTACCGGCGCCGCATCAGACACGAGCAACGCAGCCCACACACCCGGTCGACCCTTCGACACTCACTGCCAATCTTACCTCACTCACCTCCCTTGGCTTTGCTCTGCCTGCGAGTCTGCGCTCGCTCCTGCAACTTGCCTTTCAACCTTAGTACGCCCAGTCCAGCCTGGCCCCATTCGCCCGCTTAACGCGTCCAGTCGAAACCACCGACGACATCAGCTAAAGCGCTCGGCCAGCCCTTTCCCCCTTCCAACTTTCAACCTCCACCATCCAACCGTCCGTTTGGCAGCTCATCCCGATCCCGACCGACTGCATCATTTCCTCTTTCGAGTCAACATCGCTTCTCCGCCCGCCATGGACTCCCAGTGGCAGCAGGGCTACGCCGATTCGGCCGGCTCTGCGAGGAGATACAATGGCAGCGGCGCTCAGATGCCTCGTGGAGAGTACAATGGTCAACCCGGTCCGCAAGGCCAGCCTGCCGGCTACAGGCACGAACAGTATCAAAGCCCTGGCGGCATATCCTCTCACGCTGCCAGCGCCGCCGCTTCGCCCATGTCCACCCCCCAGATGCGCGACAACAACGGCGACATCCCCATGCACGACGTTCAGGACTCGTACGCCGGCATGAAATACCCCATGAGACCCCATCACCAGTCTCACCTCTCGGGCAGCCGCTCATCCACTCTCTACTCTCCTCAGGAACCCTCGGCTGCTGCCCAACGGTACTCGCCAATGGAGGCACTATCCCCCACCTCGCCTTACGCGCCAAAGTCGGCGCAAAGTCAGTTCTCGTCGCCTCCGGGCCATCGACAGTCTCCGACAAGGCAGCCCGATTACATGCCCCATAGTCCTCATTATGGTGGCCGTCAACAAGCCCCGCAGCTTCCTCCGATCGCGCCCTATGGCTCCTCCCACGACGGCTATCCGTCCGCTGTCGTTGCCAACATTGACGGTGCCTTTGCAAACGACCCCAAGTCACCACGTCGCCCTATCCCGCAGGCCATGGTTCGAGGACCTGCGCCCGAGTTTAAACAAATCAGAGCCCCGACGGATCTTCGACCCAAGGTCAATTCTCAGCCTCCATTCCGCCGTGCGAACCCCGAAGGAGGATTCATTAGCGTAAGCCCACTTTCCTGGCTGGTCATTCTAGATAATCGCAGCCTACTTACATTTTCCAGCCTCTCCAAGCGCTCACGGTGCATCTGCCTGCTACGTACAGGATATGCAACCCGAACTTCAAATACGAGTCATCGCGAAACCCCCGCCGAGTACTCACCAAGCCGAGCAAGGGTGTCAAGAATGATGGATATGACAACGAAGACAGCGACTACATCCTCTACGTGAACGATATTCTGGGCTCAGAGGAAGCCGGCCACAAGTATGTTCAGGCTCTGATGCCGCTCTGTCTTGGCCCCCTTCAGTCGAATATTCGAGCTGACTTGCGATGTAGGAACCGATACCTTATTCTTGACGTTCTGGGCCAGGGTACCTTTGGCCAAGTTGTCAAATGTCAAAACCTCAAGACCCAGGAAGTTGTTGCCGTCAAGGTCATCAAAAATCGCACGGCCTACTTCAACCAGAGTATGATGGAGGTCTCTGTTCTGGACTTGGTACGGCATTTCTCTTGCTCGATATAGACAACAAATTGCTGACCATAGCCCCTTAGCTCAACACCAAGCTCGATAAGAACGACGACCACCACCTTTTGCGACTCAAAGACACCTTCATCCACCGGCAACATTTGTGCCTGGTCTTCGAGCTACTCAGTGTCAACCTGTACGAGTTGATTAAGCAAAACCAGTTCCGAGGTCTAAGCACGACTCTCGTCCGCGTTTTCGCTCAGCAACTTCTCAATGGCTTGGCCCTCTTGAACAAGGCTCGGCTGATTCATTGCGATCTGAAGCCGGAGAACATCCTTCTCAAGAACCTTGAAAGCCCCATCATCAAGATTATCGATTTTGGTTCGGCATGCGACGAACGGCAGACAGTCTACACGTACATCCAGTCCAGATTTTACAGGTCTCCCGAAGTCCTGCTGGGCTTGCCCTATTCGTCGGCCATCGACATGTGGTCGCTCGGTTGTATTGTAGTGGAACTATTCCTCGGCCTGCCCTTGTTCCCTGGATCGTCCGAGTACAACCAAGTCTCGCGCATTGTTGACATGCTCGGCAACCCTCAAAATTGGATGATCGAGATGGGCAAGCAAGCCGGCGAGTTCTTTGAGAAGAGGCAAGACGAGTTTGGACGACGAACGTACCAGTTGAAGAGCATGGAGCAGTACGCTCGGGAGCACTCGACCAAGGAGCAGCCCAGCAAGAAGTACTTCCAGGCAAACACTTTGCCAGAGATCATCAAGTCGTACCCTATGCCACGCAAAAACATGAAGCAGAGCGAGATCGACAGAGGTAAGATTCCACGTTCTTACATCACCCTTGCGGACAAATACTAACGCAGCTTGTAGAAATGAATAACAGAATCGCCTTTATCGATTTCGTCCGGGGTCTTCTCAACATCAACCCGCTGGAACGTTGGTCCCCCCAACAGGCCAAGCTCCACCCATTCATCACCCAGCAGAAGTTCACTGGTCCTTTCGTGCCGCCCATGAATTTGAAGTCGAGCTCTCTGAATCGGTCTCCGGCACCAGGCACCCAGCAACAGCAGCAAGCCGAAGCACTGAGCAAGCAGAGGGCACAAGCCGCTCAGGCTCAGGCGAACTCTGCTGCACAGGGAGCTTACGCCCAGATGGCTGCTCAATATCAACAACCCGCACACCCTCAGCAAGCGCCCATGTACAATAATCAACAAATGTACTCTCCTAGCAACAGTCATGCAGCTCAGCCGCCGCCCTACGGAGCCCAGCAGCAAGGTGCATATGGACAAATGGTCATGCCTCAACAACCAGCGCAGATGCCTCCTGGGCCGTATGGTAATGCTTCCCAGCAGCCTGGCCTGTATCCTCAGCAGGGCATGCGGCCCGCACGCCAACGTGCCTCAACCATGGAGCAGCAGCAAAGTGGTATTCCGGCCGCCATTCAGCGCGTGGCTAGTCACCTTGACCCAAGCCAGCCGATTCGTTTGCAGCCTAGCCCTGCCTACTACCCCCCTGGTGCTGACAGCGGTATGGCGGGCATGGACAACGCGGCTAATCGGGCTGGTAGACGTGGAAGCCGTGCACAGCAAGGAGGAGGAAGAGGAAACCGAGACTTCATTCGCAACCTTGAGGAGCGAACGCTCGAGGAAGGCTTCATGGGAAGCCAGAATCCCTGGCACTAATGGCCGGACGACCTTTGATCAGAGTGATTTAAAATGCGCATTGATATTCCTTCGCAGCCTTGGGTCATCAGTCTACCCCTCACAGGAGACTATGGGAGGTGAAGTTAGGACAGCCCAGAGGTCAATGCTACGGCATTCGCTTGCGCCAGGTCGAATACAGCAGTGCGGTCCCTGAACGCATGGTGGCAATTGGACGAAGAAGATACCCGATGGCTCCAACAAGGGAGACCTGTTGCAGGGGACCATCTGAAGAAGACGAGGTTCAAAGCCGGGCTAGATCAGGACGACGACGACATATACACAAACATGGGAGCTTTGATGGGACGATGCATGAGAGGAAATTGGCGGACAGTACTGGGTTAGCGGGGATGGCGGCCTTGACGGTGGAGGAAAGGAAAGGAAGGGCTCGACGGCCAGCAACGACATACGAGATCACGTCCTCTTCACACACCGTTCCTAACTACTTACCTACCTACCTTTGTTCCTAAGGTTGAAAGGGTTCCGGATACAGCAGGTTGGCTTTGCAAGTTGTTTGACTAATCTGGAAGTGATAATGGTGTCAAAGGGGCAAGAAGTTGCTGACCTGATCATGTGTGCCTACTCGATCAATGTTCAAGATACCAGGTTCAAATTCCACACTTGTATGGTTCTTAGCTCCCAGCCTAGGGAAGGGGCTGGTGATGTGGTCTCTTCAGTAAAATGTTGCCAGAGCTCATGTGCATCCTGGGAAGTACGGGCACATCGACCCCCTCGTCTATGTACGCACTCCTTGTTGGGTGCTTCCATTGAATGGGACCTTCTATCTTTACTATTCCTACATGTTCTACTTTGATGGGGAAGTTGCTGACTAGGTGTCACTCTCGCCTTCCATGAGGTTGCGGAAAGGACTGAGATCAGTTCCTCCTCGTTGTTCGACATCTTTGCATTCACATTCTACTCCTCAACCACCTCCATCATTGCCCACTCAGCTTCGGCACCCATCACTAAGACAACAACCTTTGATTCTTTGGATTTCTCTGTTGCTTTTACAATCTAGCATCTACCCACAACGGGGCCACTCATCAGTCCCCGAGCTGCTGTTTGCTGTTACCTCAAGCATCCCCAAATTTCTTGGTCGACGTCCCCCACGATAGTCATGGCGCATCCTCTCTTGGTAACGAAGCAGAGGGATGCTGGTGGCCCCAAATCCTTCACGAGACCTCAAGCCAAAGGCCGCTCGGAAGTCACGCTGAGGAAAGACTTGTCGTCAATGCAAGGAAGTTCCGATTCGGAGCTCAGTCTAAAACGCGACGGCAGCACAAGAAACAGGCACATCGCCTCCTTGAGCAACTTATGGCACAAAACTGTCTCCCGTATGCCGACCTTAAGCAAAAATGATGCCTCGAAAGGACAGATTGCCAGGGCAGCTCATGCCTCCTCAACAAGTCAGTCTGATTCGCAGACTGACGAAGGTGAACAGCATCAGATCGACAAGCCTGCAACTAGCAAGGACGATACCACGTCATCCCAGAGGAGAAAAGGTTCGATTGAAAACCACGCACTCTTGATTTTCTGCTCTTGAATGCTGATTTTTGTTGTTTTTAGGTTTGTTCAAACGCCGAAGCCTCGGAAACATATTTGGTACCAGCAGCCGAAAAACGCTCAAGAGATACATCAAGTCCGAGGAGGCTCTCGCGACCTCTGTGGGGTCTGACGTGGAGACGCCAGTCCATGACAGGTTTCCATCTGCCTCGCTCGTCGCTCCAGAGCTGCCAAAGGTGCGGGCATCAGGAAACTTTGAGAAGGAGTGCGTGATCATCACTGGAGAGCCACCCACAGTGCAACCGCCGATTTGCCTAGGAAAACAAACGCCCCAATTACTGGAAATACAGACGGGGGATGGCCAGCCCCCTTTCCTTGATCTAGGTGATGCCGTTGAGGATCAAGTTCCGGATGTGTCGCTATCAGCATTGGCTTTGGCCAAGCGACCTAGGTCCTTGGATCTCAAGAAACTCCTGGTAGACGCTTCGGCAGCAGCAGATCTGGACTTCATCACATCGGCCTTGGACAAGGGAAAGGGCAAGGAAAAGCAGACATCGAAGCCACCCTCCACTGATCAGCATGTGCACCTGGGGTCTGGAACACCGCGACCAGTCGAGGTAAAAAGCCCTCTCGAGGTAGCCAACAAAGCCTTGGAGGCGGAGTCTAGTAACATGGTTGCGAGCATCAAGACGACTGATGCAGCCTCCGCTGTCATCCAAGCTGAGATGTCCAACAAAATTCTACCTGCAGTGAATACCGAGGTGACTGATCCACCCTCTACTATCTTCCCGGTCGAGATGTCCAACAGGATTGTACCCGTGGTCAATACTGCGTTGAGCAGATTTCCTGGAGATTCCGACTCTCGAGATGCTGTTGCCAGCACAGGGGCGACTGGCCCGAGAATCAAAGAGGTAACCGTTCGAGACGCCGGGTACACTCCAAATGAGAAACCGGAGTTTGAAACATCAACGAGGGAGCACATATTGAGGTCGTACGCTCAAATTTCCGGCAAGTATGGACCTTTCTATTCTACCGCAAGGATGCGGACATCAATTGACCTTACCTGGCAAGATGGTATAGGCATCACCTCCCATGGACTCAATGCTAATACTTTATGCAGGGAAGACTGGGAGAGCGATATTACTGTAGCTGGACTGGAGAATGATAATGTCCCAGACACAACCCTGATGCGCAAACGATCGGACGATGGACAACTCCAAGAATACCTATCTTTGCCACGCAACGTGAGCGAAGGTGAATCTGAGACCAAGCCTAAATACGGCAAATGGCTGTCGCGGAGCGCTATTCCAGTGACGGATAACTCGACAATGACTCGCGAAATACATAGAGAAACGATGGACACAGGCCGGCTCGCTGTGATCCCGGATATGACCCTAGAACTCGAGTCTACGAAGAGAAACGAATACAGCATAATCTACCCGCCGAACTACGTTTCCAAACCTCGGGTTACCTCGATGAATGCTTTGATTATGGAGCCTCTCCTCAATCCAGCAACCGAACGCCATCTTGTCATATCCGATAGCAAAGGCAGGGCTATCACTAGCAACGGCTCCAGCAATTTGAGCGTTGATTCAGGTGGCTCAGAGATCCGAAGGAGAAAGACAAAAAGCATGACGTTCATCAAAAACATTGATATTTCTTCTGTCGACAATTCTTACAATCAAATGCGGAAGTTGGCCTTCCCCGGAGACTCAATTGATGGCCCTGAAAGCCGGTTCGAGACATCAGTCTATTACGACGGAGGCAGCTGGGACGTTTGTGAGGACTGCAGTGATGTAGATGATGTTTTCTGACTTTTTGGTTGTCCGGTTATTCTTTAATCAGCTCGACTTTTCGTTTATGGACATGCGAAAGGCACTGAGGGGTCTGATAGGTAGTCTTCAAGCCCCAATCATGGTGGCTCTTTGTAAAGTAACGTTTAAACCAAAACAAATGCCCTGGCTCAATGTTGGCGTCGGACCTCCAAAAAGTAAAAGCCACACCCGTGAGTGCCGCGGATGCAGTGGCTTGGGTTAAGAGCTCCGACTTCAGACGGCCCCAGTGGAGAAAGAGGTACGTACCGAACCATCCAATCGATTGGAGACCCCTGGAACACGCTCCCATGGGCCATGGCCCTCTATCCGTACCTTTACCTAGTGTAAACCAACGCGCCCAGGTCAACCTCAAGTTGTTACTCGTCAGGGTCTTTGCAAGGTACTTCATCCATTCTCCGACTCGTCTTCGCCCGCCTTTCTCGAATCAAAGTGGTTTTTTATTTATTTATTTTACAGCCACGAACCTTTCGGCGACCCTCGCTTTCTATCTAAGGGAGTTACTTTCTCACTCCTTTCTCAACCTGTCACCCTTTCCGCCTTCGATCTCGCAGACACCCCTACATTTTCGACCGTTGCGACTAGCACACTTAACCTCATTCCATCCCTCCGATCGAAACTGTTTGCCCAGGAGATCAATCAACATGGCGAAGGTAGCAACCGACTTTGAGAAGATCATCCAACAAGGTATAATCTCTTTTGTTTACTACATGATTGGACGCCGCCTATTCAGAACGGATCGCTGACCGGGGCGATGTTTCGCTTCACTCTGCAGGACGAGAGAGGAAGAAGAACGAGGCGCTGGCACAGAAGATCTTCTCCAAGGATAGACGGCAGAGCGCGCCTTCAAAGCTCAAGCCCGGCGCGGGGCCGTCGCTGGCGAGCCGAGTCGGCATCACAAAGAAGGTACGCATTTAACTCATCTCGTCATTCGTTCCTAGCTTTTAGTAAATCGACGAGCGAGCGTTCGCTAACGTTCTTTCCATCCTGCAATCAGCCGCGCACCGCATCCCTTGGTCCTAAGGCCCTTCCCGCTGGCAACATCGATGGCGACTGGACACATGACCTCCACGGAACGGTGAATGGCGGCGGTAGAGGACGAAACAATAACGGCAACAGCGCCGGCGCCGGCGGCCTCGCGTCGCGCATCTCTGCGCCGGGAGGAGGAGGAGGAAGGGCCGCGTCCACCACGGCGTCGATGGGCAACGGCAACAACAGCCACAGCAGACGACGCGCCGAGCAGAAGGCGGCGAGAGTAGCTGCCGCGATGGAGCGCTCGGGCGCCATGGCCGACGTGCAGATGACCTCCGTGGCGAACGTGGTGCCCACGGGACCGGCGATCAAGCAAGGCCTCTCTATCAGAGGGCTGGCGGGGCCGTTCGCGGTGATGGCGCAGAACTTTGCGCCGGGGACGACGGCGGCGGACATCGAGAGCGCAATGACGCCCGTCGGCGGGGAGATGCTGGACTGTCGGATCATCAAGACGACGCCTCTGATCCTGGCGGAGATGGTCTTTGCGACGAAGGAGGGCGGTGATGCGGTCATTTCCACGTTCAACAACCAGACGGTAAGGAACCCCTGCCCCCCTCACCCCCCTCACTCTTTCTCTCTCTCGTCTGCTATGCACGGGGCGACCGCAGGCACAGTTTGAGATTTGTTTACTGATTTGAGGGCGACTGCAGGCCGATGGACGCATCATCAAGGTCTACCCCAAGCCCGGCGGCTACAAGGAGCCCACCACCCGCCCCGCGAACGCCCGCTCGACATCAAGCAACTTTGTCGACGGCATGAATGGATTCCCCGAGGCTACGCAGGAGGACAATGGCGGCCTGTACAGCGACGACCTCGTTCGCAAGGCCGGCAACAACAACAACAACCGTAGAGGACGTAACTTCAACCGTGGCGGCAGACGATGAAGGGAGGGGCGAGATGACACGATGAGAAACAATTCCGGTCGGTGCTAGACGGCAAATTATGGCGGGAGGCACAACACTAAGAAAAGACGTCGTATCCACACTACGAATGCCGGGGGTTTCTACTTGGGCGTTAAATTTTTCGAAAGCGGGCTTGGGAAAGGGTCGAAAATACCTAGGCGACTTCATGTGTATGCTGATTCTGCTCGTAAAAGGGGGGCGAGAATTTACAAATCGGGGGTGGATTTCTGCGCAAAGATGGGGAAAGGTTCCTTTTTTCGAGAGGGCGCAGATCTCTCCATTATCCAGGGAGGCGCGTGTACTATTAGATCAAAAGAGACTTTGCCATATTTTTTCTTCTTCAGTGGAGTTTCATTGCCTTCTTCGATTTTGCAATTCAGGGCGTCTTCAAGGAACGGCGGCGTCGGATCATGGTTCAAAGCTTAGAAATGTACATTGAGATTGGGGTATTTGTTCTATGTGTGTAACGAGGCTTGAGTCGTTCTACATCTTCGGTATGTTCACATGGCTCAGATATTGTTTTTACATTGTATTGTACAGTTCATAACAATGATGTTTTACAAGTCCAACATCTCTTGTTCGTCCTTCTTTGCGGGCGTAGCATCCTGTATACGTTGGTTCGGGTCGGTAAACTCGACCGCGAACCGGTTCAGCTTGCTCCGCTTCTCCTTGAGGCTGATGAACGCTTCCTCATCGGCAGCGAGCGCCTTCTCGTTGACGACCTTGTCGACAGCGCTAATCATCTTGCGAGCAAGGTCAGCAAGATCTTCGACAGCCTCGGCGCGTTTCCGGGCCACGTCCTTGCCCTGGGACTTGATCAAGGCTTCCTTGGCTGCGGAAAAGGGCTGCCAGAGATTTTCCACGGCGGCGGCGAGTTGCTGGGCGTAGCCGCGCTTCGCGCCCTTGGTGTCGCCCGCCTTGTCCATCTGGCGGAAGTTGAAGTGGCAGATGATGGCAGCCTTCATGTAGATGAGGAGGGCGCGCACGTCCACGGGGTTTTTCTGCGCGGCGCCGTGGGCGAGCATCGTGTTCAGGATGGACGTGGCGTCGGAGAACGCGTTTTGGCTCATGTTGTTGTTGATGCAGGCGGAGAGGGCGCGGCGATAGACGATGGGAGGGACAGGTTTGTCGGATGGCATCTGCTGTACAGCCTTCGCGGCGTCTTTACTTGAGCCGCTGCGCTCGTAGAGACGAATCATTTGGTGATAATTGTCTGTGTCGGGGTTGACGCCGTAGTAATGGACAAAGAGGTCCCAGTACTTCACGCCCAGCTTGGTCTGCTTTTGCTCGCGAACGATAGCGAGAACGAGGGATAGGGTGTTGGCCCGCGGTACGGCATATTTGATCTTTGGTGAGAGGACTGTGGCTTTGCGCTTTGCGCTACCAGTCGCGCTGATACCTTTCATCTCGTCGTTGATGCGGTGTGCATAGTCTCCCGTGGGCGTACGGTTGTAGTTCCGGACGCTCATGGTCTCTTCGAGCATGGTGAGAATCTTGCCTCTGTCCTTATTACCTCCGAGGAGCAGAACACGACCCATGGCGCACACCAGATCCTCGTCGATCTCCATCTTCCCGTTACGCCAGTTGCGCATGACCTCCTCCCATATATGCTTGCATCGTGTGATCGTCTGCTCCACCGTATCGATGTGCTGTTGGAGAGACTGCCCTTTGCGATTATCCTGATTTTCAGCCTCTGCGCGTAGCGTGTTGATGATGGCCGTGTACGTGTAAGCAGTGTTCTTGCGACCTGACTTGGCATCGGCCGAGTCGGCCAGTGTGAACATGTTTTCGACGTCGCCTGCGCGGCCGCAGCACTGGATCACAGCGTTGACATGTATCGAGTTAGGCTTGATCTTTGCGTCCTCCTTGAGCATCGTTTTATACAAAGCCAGAGCCTTGGCACTGGCGGCCTTCGGTTCGCGGGACTTTGCACAGCCGGTGAAGATGATGGTAAATGTCTGTTCGTTGGGTGATTGGCCGCGCTTCTTCATATCGTTGAAGAGGCTGATGGCAAAGTTGACTCGCTTCAACTCCATGATCTGGTACTTAATAAGGTGGTTCCAGGCCACGACGAGGTCGGTATCCTTGGCGCTGGCGCGCTGGACAAGGAGAAGGGCCTCATCGAAGCGACCCTTCTGGAGTGTGGCCTCGACGTGCTTGGCGATGTTGAAGGGGTTTTCCAGGTGCTCGAGATGTTTCGACACAGCCCAGTCTAGCTTCTGTTTCCTTCTCTTTTCTGCAAATTCCTCGCTGCTGCCGTGGGTGTCCTTTTCTATTTCCTTTCCTTCTTTCAAGAACGCTCTGCCTGCGGCAGTCGTGGGTATTGCCTTTCTATGGGCAAGTCGGCGTTGGCTGCCCGGCGGGCCATATTGAAGGGTGGGTAAAGTAGACGATAGTTCGGAGAAGGAGGCCTTTCCCGACAAGGGCTGAAGCGCCCTTGTGAGACAGGCTTTGCAGGATAGCATTCTTGAGGGTCTTTTGCGGCGGAAGGCTATGTGGTGCTGGAGTTTTCCACGAGGACCTCCTCTAATCATGAAAGCGCCTCCGGGAAATTTTGCGACCAACTAAGGTACCTACCCAAGCTCTCTTATCTTATCGGAGAGCTTGCTCCCATGCCTGTGCCTGCGTCTTTGGGGCGTCCTGCATGGCTTAGCGTGTCGCGCAGAACACTGACGTTGGTTGCGGGGCGGGCCTCTTTATGAGTGCCCCCACTTTGTAGCGTTTAGCGCAGACTCGACCAATTGGCCTGACGGCAATTAAGCAAAAAACGCGTCGCCAAACACGAACGCGACTTTCCTCGCGCGCCGCCCCTGGCTGAACGGCCAAATTATAGAGCACATGTATCCCGTGCTTTGTGTTATCCCACCCACAACAGGCCGACTCCGTTCCTCGATACAAACACAGCTTGACACGCCACATCTTTCAGTACCTACCGCCGGTGCCGAATAATTTCTTGCTCTATACGATGAATTGAGTGTCCATTCGAGAACTTTAACCTTTCTCTCTAATATTCGACATACCAGCCCTGCCCACCATGCCCAAGGTCGA